CTTCGTCGATCTGCCTGTTCTGCTCCCCACTCTGTCTCTGGTGAAGCCTTTCATCACCTCTGGCCTGTACCCCAGTTCTGTATGCATAAATAAATAAATCTTAAAAAAAAAGGTACATAGTAGGAGCTAAGTGAGCTTCACTTTACAATATCATTTCAAAGAACCTTCAAGCAGTGTAAGAATATTTCATTATATCAGAAAATGTAAAATGACATCTTATTTCTATTTTTGTTGGGTGATTTTACTGTAAAATGAAGGCAGGTACAGAAAGCCACACAGTTGCAGCTTAAGGTAGGCAAATGTCCTTGGAATTACCACCAAGATCAAGACAGAAACGTCACACTCCAGAGCCCTGACGCCCTTGCCGTCAGCCCTGCCCTTCCCCCAGCCACTGCCGCCATCTCCAACTTGCCGGAACTATGTCCTGTGTTTCCGAAAATAGTTTTGTGACCCAAATGTATCTCTGCAAACCACAATTTAGCTCATCTTAAAAAAGGGTCCATCTGCTTTTGTTTATTTATTTTTTTGAGGTGACATTCACAACTCTGTATGGTTTAGAGTCAGTCACACTCCTCCCCCGGCCAGGGCACCCTAGTTCTCTACCATAGTCCATGTGTCCCCCACTTCCTTCAGGTGGCCTCAATTCTACAGTCAGATTTCTAGGGTTTGTTACTGGTTTAACTTTATCTGATACGTTGCTATGTTTCCTTATATTGTACATATATAGAGAAAGTGATACCACCTGGTATTTTTCTGTCTTCTAACTTATATTTCACCTAGCATAATCCCCTCTTTTTCCATTGATGATGTTACAAAGACAAGAATTTATCTTTTTTTTTTTTTATAGCCAAGGGGTATTTCACACATGTCTTCTAATCTATAGCAGCACTGTTAACTAACAGGAACTACATGTAATTTAAATTTCCTAACAGCCGTGTGAGAGGAAGTAGAAACAAGTCCAATTAATGTTAGTAGTATATTTTACCTAATTGTATTAGAATATTATCATTTCAGCACGTAGTTGATGTAAAATTTTTTGGGTTATTTTTGGGGGAGGATACTTAAATATTGAAGTCTAGTATATGTTTTACATTGATAGCACAGCAGCTTTGGTCCATTGGATCCCCTTTTAGCCAGCTGCTGTAGCCTAGTGATATGTCCTGTCACTTTTTTTTGGGGGGGGGATTTCTTATTTTCTGTCATACAAAATGTTCCACACTCATCTTGTCCCTGCCCTGTACCCTGGACCAATCCATTTCTATCGGGAACCATCCCGTTTCTATTGGATCCTCTAGGGCTAATGGTTTTGAAGAGCAAGTTATGGGTGCGATTAGTATGCTTTGCTCCTGGGCTACAGAAGTTAGCATTATGTAAGACTCACCTTTAGGGGTGTTTGTATACTGCTATACGCACACATGGGCATCTACATAGCACTATATACACTTTTTGTCATCATGAGCTTATACTCATACTTCTAATTCTGGTGTGTTCCTGTGGGTTCTTCCTTGCTCTCCCCTACTCCATATGTTCTTTCTCCCACAGTGCAAACCTTGGCCTTTGGCATTGTCAACCCATTCACTCATCTGCTCAGTCTTATAATTCATTTAGAATAGTTTCCAAACTGCTTCATGCATTTTTTGCTATGAAAAAAAAAAAAAAAGCCTGTAAGAAAGTTGAGGATTTATTTGCTGCTTGCCCTCGCAATTCAGAGTATACAGTTATATACGATGCTTATGATTTTAAAAAATTTGTTCTCCCTTCACCTTCATGTGATTATGGTATTCACTTGCAGTACTAGGGGGTATGCTTTTTTTCTTTTGGCTTTTGGGGACCCCCTTACACACCCTACTGATGCAATGATGTTCTACCAATACTGTGCTTCCAAAAGTTAGCACTGTTACATAAGGCTCACCTTTAAGAGTATCATTCCCTCCCATCTCTCTCTCACCCCACTCTCCCAGCTCTTCTAGGGAAGGCCTGTCACTATTTCCTAGCTTGAACTTATGTTGTGTGTGTGTTTTTTTTTTAAAAAGACCTTCATATATATGCTTTTCCCTGCTCACATACTATGTTCAGATTAGGCAAATCTTTAGACAGAGTAGATTTATGGTTGCCTAGGTTTAGGGATTTGGGGAGCAAATGAGGACTACTTGGCTACAGGGTGTCTTTCTGGAATTATGAAAATGTTCTATCATTGTGATAATCGTTTTGCAATTTTAAATATACTAAGTCATTGAGTTGTGTACTTCAAATGAGCTAGCTGTGTGACACAGGACTTACATCTCAATAAAGCTGGTGTTTTTTTTTTTTTTAAATGGAGAATATGTACTCTTTTTGCACTTCGCTTATTTTGTACTCAGCTGTATCTCCTGGAAATCACATCAGGTCAGAGATCTTTGCTATTTTTTGTGGCTCTTAGTTCTGTGTATATGAAAACTTACTCTGCTCTTCACCCGTATGTGGATATTTAAGTAACTCTCATTTCAAGTATAAAAGGCACTGCAGTGAGTAACTGTATTATCACATTGTTGGAAGTAATGTCCAGGATGTATTTCCAGAAGCAGGATTTCTGGATGAAAGGAGAGTGCACATGTAGTTTTACTAGGTAATGCCAATTCTCTGTAGAAGCTGTCACATTGCATTCTCATGAGCAGTGAGTAAGTGTACCTCCCCATCACCTTGCCACAGAGATTACGATCAAGCTTTCCAGTGTATGCCAATAAGATGGCTGGAACATGGTATGTTGTCACGGTTCATCTTGGCATTTCTCTTACTGTGCATCAAGTTGCTTGTTATTTTAAGAGCCACTTTCTTCTTTTTGTGAATTGTCTTTTCATGTTTTTTCCCCCTTTTTATAGCATTCTTAATCTTCATTTCTAAAAGCTCTTTGTATATTAGAGGTATTAACTGATTGTTTTGTACATTACAAATACTTTCTCCCAGCTTGTCTTTTGACTTTGCTTATGCAAGAATCAGTTTTTGTGTAGTTAAGCTTATGAATATTTTCTCCCAACATCTGGATCAATAATCATGGTTAAAAAGCTTTTTCCGGTTCCCCGGAGCCCTTCTCCCCGCTCGGTCCACACCGCCGGCCTCCTGGCTGTCCAGTAACCGCGCTGCAGCCATGCCCGCCGCTGGGTCCGAGGCGCTGCTCTCGCCGGCGCCGCCCGCCGCGCAGGAGCGGGTCGCCAAGTCTCAGCCGACGCCCCACGGGGAGTTGCAGTACCTGGGGCAGATCGAGCACATTCTGCGCTGCGGCTTCCGGAAGGAGGACCGCACGGGCACCGGCACCCTGTCGGTGTTCGGCCTGCAGGCGCGCTACAGCCTGAGAGATGAATTTCCTCTGCTGACAACCAAACGTGTTTTCTGGAAAGGTGTTTTGGAAGAGCTGTTGTGGTTTATCAAGGGATCCACAAATGCTAATGAACTGTCTTCCAAAGGTGTGAAAATTTGGGATGCCAATGGTTCCCGAGACTTTTTGGACAGCCTGGGGTTCTCCAACAGAGAAGAAGGAGATTTAGGCCCTGTTTATGGCTTTCAGTGGCGACATTTTGGGGCAGAATACAAAGATAAAGATTCAGATTATTCAGGTCAAGGAGTAGATCAGCTGCAAAAAGTGATCGACACAATCAAAACCAACCCAGATGACAGAAGAATCATCCTGTGTGCTTGGAATCCAAAAGATCTTCCTCTGATGGCCTTACCTCCATGCCATGCACTTTGCCAGTTCTATGTGGTGAATGGTGAGCTCTCCTGCCAGCTACACCAGAGGTCAGGAGACATGGGCCTGGGTGTGCCCTTCAATATTGCCAGCTACTCCCTGCTCACCTGCATGATTGCGCACATCACCGGCCTGAAGCCCGGCGATTTTGTACATACATTGGGAGATGCACACATTTACCTGAATCACATTGAGCCTCTAAAAGTGCAGCTTCAGCGAGAACCAAGGCCTTTTCCAAAGCTCAAAATCCTTCGAAAAGTTGAGACGATTGATGACTTCAAAGCTGAAGACTTTGAGATAGAAGG